ACGGGCACGGGCATGGAGCCTGAAGAAATAGGGCATGTCAGGGAGAGCACTGAAAGACAGCCACATTCTACCACATGTCCTGGGGTGGAGGGAAGGGAGGCAAGGACTGGGGCTAACCCATGTCTCCCAACTCCCCAGTGCCCAGCTCAGGATAGAGGGGACACCGCTAAGTGCTGAACGGTGTAAAAGGACACCACAGGCCAGGGACAAGCACACACCTCCGGCATACACAGCCAGCCACCCCTGGTCCACACACCTCCTCTGCCAGGTCCTCCTGGATGCTCTCTCGGATGCGAGGTGGAGGGAAGCTGAGCGGCCGGCCATAGTCTGAGGGCAGTCCCCGGGGTGGCTGCAGCTCCAGGGGGCCTGGCAGGAGCACTGAGCGGCCAGGCCCAGCAGGAGCGTAGTCCACCTCACTCAGTGTCTTGGCCATCTGCAGCACCGAGCAGGAGCGATCGTCCCCACTGGCTACCTCACCCAGGAAAGTGCTAGTGGGTGAGGGGCCTGGGGGCAGTGGGGGTCTTGGATGGGCCTTAGGGGGTGGTGGGCCACGGGCCTCACCCCCACTGCGACCCCGGACCACTGGCCCTGGCAAAGGATCCAGGCTTGGAGGCAGGAAGATGGCCGAGTCTGGCAGTGGTGGGGGTGGAAAGTCTGGAGGGGGCAGTGTACCCCCGGGCTCCTCATCTGATGAGCTCCCCTCTCCCACACGGGGAGGCCGGTGGCGACCAAGCTGTGGAGCAGGCACTGTGATGGCCACCTTGTTCTTGGTGGCAGGTGGGACAAGGGCCCTGGCAGGCGGAGGTGGCTCTGGGGGCAGCAGCTGGTGTGGGACCCCTTCAAGGACGTAGTAGGCAGGGTTATTGAAGCTGTTCTTGGGCGGAGGAGCCGCCACCCCTTCAGGCTCTGGAGCCCCCTCTGGCTTCAACCTGGGTTAGGGAGCAGGATAACTAAGTCAGGACCCAGAAACCCAAAGTGAAGGTAGTGGGTGAGGTAGCAGGAAAACCAGACTGGGAGTCAGGAGACATGTGACCTTGAGCATATCACTTTCCCTCTCTTGAGGCATCTGAGTCTGACCTACTGAGGACTCTTGCTCAGGAATTCAAGTTGGTTTTACACAAACCTGGCGATAAAACCAAGATGAGTGATAACAGCTGAAGCTGAGTGAAAAAGCACCCCCTGGACCTCGGAGTTTTTAGTTAAGTGCAAGCAACAATTGGATGTAATCACTTTCCCAAGGTATGATCCACAGAACACTGTGGGTATTAATAGTTATTGTGTGGAAAAGAAGTTTCCTGGCCTGTTAAGTTTGGGAAACTATATTCAACAAAGTTGAAAAAGGGTTTCCTTCCTGTCCACATGCCTAGAGCTTTGGCTAATACTGATGTGCACTGGGAATATCTAAGAAAAGAATCTAGCAAGAACCGTTTCTCAGACTCGCTTGATCACAAACCCGTTTCCAGGGGGCACTACGGAACAGTGAGTGCTCCACAGAGCGCGCAGAGGGGAGCCCGAGCTGAGGCGTGTGCCTTCTCCACACAGGAGGCTCAAACGAGCTCTGTTTACGTGGAGGGAGCTGTTGCAGAAACCATTTCTCAGGCAGAACTGAGAGGAAAAGCTGACTGTGCTCCCTTTGACTCAGAGAGCCACACCTAAGGGAGCCTGGCTGGCCAGAGTGGCCGTGGCGTAGGGCCATGGGGCAGCAGAGCACCCAGGCAGCAGACAGTCCCCAGGCTGGTGCTGAAAGCCAAGCACAGTGATGGATGAAGTTCTCTCACCTGGGGGTCAAGGGCTCCTCCCGGGGAGTAGCTCGAGGAGGGGCTGGTGGCCTCCCAGTTGGTGGTGGTTTCTCTGGTTCTTCGAATAACTTGGACAGTGGGCAGAAGGCCTCTGTGGGGGCTGGCTTTCGGCTCCCTGACCTGCCAGGGGTGCATAGGGCAGGAGAGATGAAGTAGGGGCTGACCAAAAGCCCCCAGGCACCCCTTCACATGACACCCCACACGGCCCCAGCTCACCTGGGCTCTTGGCTGCCTCGGGACACAGAGGGGGCTTTGCCCTTTGTTCCTGCCTCATCCTTATCAATGCTGATCCACTCTGGGGGAGAAAGGGAGCGGGGACTCAGAGGGGACTTGGGGTCCTGGCACCCATTGACCTTCCAGCCTCTACCCAGCTACTCCTCAGGGCAGGCCCTCTCCCAGCCATGGCTGCAGAACTTCCAAACACTATATTCCAGGGATTCCAACATGCTCTCCCCACACCCCTGGTCCTTTCCTCCTAGGCCTACCCACACCACCTCATCTCATGCCCCACAGCCCTCCCAATGGAGCCCCCACCGTAGAGTCGCTCACGGGTGCCCAGGCGCTCTGTGGGCACCCGCACCTTCATGGAGCCACGGATGTTGCCTGTCTCCTCGCCACGGTGGGACAGGAAGGTCAGGAACTGCTGGGCCGTGCTGCCAATCATGGACTTGAGCGCCACCACACACTCCCCTGAAAGGGCAAACCAACAAATTGCCAAACCTTTCTAGGGCCCCGTGTGGCTTCCTATGCTCCTTGGCACCCCTCACCCCTCACCATAGGACTCATAGCCATCCATGGACTTCACTGTGAGCAGGAGGTGCTGGTCCTGCAGGTACTCGATGTCGGCCAGAATGGGCTTGAGCTGCGGAGCGGAGAAGCCCAGTGAGGAACAAAGCCCCCACTACCCCCTCCTGCCTGACACCACTCACCCCTACCCTCAGGCTCATGCATGATCACTGCAACTCAACTCTTAAGGAAAGAACCCAAATCCTTAATGTAGAAGACACAGCCCTAAACGGGCCTTTCATAGCACTTAAAAGCATTGTAACTAATTAATTTTCTGCATCCTCAATGGCCAACATAGGACCTGACATTTAGCAAAGGTTCAAAAAGTAATGATTAAACAAATGAACAAACTGTAACTTGGCCCCAAATGAAGCAAACACCCTCTCCTCACTCATGCCCACCCCTGACCCCCTGACATGCACACAGACGCATGTGCTCTGCAGGCTCTGCCTGCCCTCCCAGGCCAGCCCTGAATGCGCTCCACTGCACCCTCTCTGCCCTCACCCACGAGCCCAGGCCCTGCCTGCAGCCTTACCGTGGGCAGCTGGCGTGAAGACCACTGCACTTTGAGGAAGTTGATGTTATCACTGCTCTGGGCATCGTTCTCAAAGCTCTTCTTGTACTCTGGGGTGGAGGTGGGGAACACCCATTAAGTACCACTTCCTGGCTACCCTTCCCCCTAACTAGGGTAGGGGGCTAACTGCTCTGGGCACATCTGGCCTCCCTTGCCCCTTGGCCCACTCCAGCCCTGGGCCCCTTCTGACCCTCCAGGCAGGTGGAGTAGAACTCAATGAAGAACTTGGTGCGGCTGGCCGTTTTCACAATGGCCTCGATGCTCTCAAACTCAATGTAGGCCTGGTCTGAAGTCTTTGAGAGCCCTGAGGGGCAGAGAGCGGAAGGAAGACAGGAGGGCTGAGAAGGTGACAGGAGGAAAAGGACAGAGAGACTGAGCCCTGGAATAGGAAGTCAGGGGCCCTGGCAGGGCAGGAGGAAAGGCCAGGAGGGGCCTCCTCAGTCCCAACAAGCCAACAGGGAGTGAGACCCTAATGCCCAGACCCTAGATCAGAGCAGACACAACTCAAGGATGAGAGATCATCTAAGAGGTGCTGGGGACCAGAATGCCTCAGGGATTGCCCGCCAATAATCCACCACACCATCAAGCACATTCAGGGGCACACACGTGGCCCCAGGTAGATAGCCACTCACACATATACACACATACTCATGGGCATGTACCTCTTACGATGACCCAGGGAGACAGACACCCTCACACATCATATTTAGAAACATTCCGCATGTACGTGTACACACACACATATATTCGAGCCCATGCACATCCCAGGTCTCCACACATGTGCTCTGCAGGCTCTGCCTGCCCTCCCAGGCCGGCCCTGAATGCGCTCCACTGCACCCTCTCTGTGCCCTCACCCATGAGCCCAGGCCCTGCCTGCAGCCTTACCGTGGGCAGCTGGCGTGAAGACCACTGCACTTTGAGGAAGTTGATGTTATCACTGCTCTGGGCATCGTTCTCAAAGCTCTTCTTGTACTCTGGGGTGGAGGTGGGGAACACCCATTAAGTACCACTTCCTGGCTACCCTTCCCCCTAACTAGGGTAGGGGGCTAACTGCTCTGGGCACATCTGGCCTCCCTTGCCCCTTGGCCCACTCCAGCCCTGGGCCCCTTCTGACCCTCCAGGCAGGTGGAGTAGAACTCAATGAAGAACTTGGTGCGGCTGGCTGTTTTCACAATGGCCTCGATGCTCTCAAACTCAATGTAGGCCTGGTCTGAAGTCTTTGAGAGCCCTGAGGGGCAGAGAGCGGAAGGAAGACAGGAGGGCTGAGAAGGTGACAGGAGGAAAAGGACCGAGAGACTGAGCCCTGGGATAGGAAGTCAGGGGCCCTGGCAGGGCAGGAGGAAAGGCCAGGAGGGGCCTCCTCAGTCCCAACAAGCCAACAGGGAGTGAGACCCTAATGCCCAGACCCTAGATCAGAGCAGACACAACTCAAGGATGAGAGATCATCTAAGAGGTGCTGGGGACCAGAATGCCTCAGGGATTGCCCGCCAATAATCCACCACACCATCAAGCACATTCAGGGGCACACACGTGGCCCCAGGTAGATAGCCACTCACACCTATACACACATACTCATGGGCATGTACCTCTTACAATGACCCAGGCACACAGACACCCTCACACATCATATTCAGAAACATTCCGCATGTACGTGTACACACACACATATATTCGAGCCCATGCACATCCCAGGTCTCCACCTGTGCCCCCCAGACGTGTGCTACAGCCACAAGCATATCCAGAATAGTCACCTTTCTTGGAAATGAACTGAGAGGTAACTCCAACCTCAAATGTCCCAAACACGGGGGAGTGATCGCTGGTGACAATGTCATCAGTGCAACCTGGGGAGGGGGATAGGAATGGGGGCTCAGAGAAAAGCTGTGTTCCCACTTCCCAAAGCAGAGTCAGGACAGCGACTACCCAGGATCGCCCATCACCCTTTCCGTGAGGCTCTGACCATAGGAATTGCAGATGATGTGGGTCTCAGGGTAGGATTTCCAGAGAATCCGGTCACACCATGAAGGCACGTTGGTCCGGACCTGGGCAGGGGATGGCAGCATGGTCAGGGACAACAGCTAGGAAATGCTCAGCACAAGCCCCCCCACCCCCCAACTCCCAGAGCTGATGAGGCCCCACATCCTTCCCCTTGGATCCTCACAAGACCTAGTATTACCCCTACAGCCTCAGAGGGAACAGAGCACTGGAGTGGTAACTGCAGATGCCTACGCCCTTGACCCCACAAGCACTCTTGATTCACTGCAGCCCTAGGGTCCTAAGGCACACCTGTTCTCCTCACTCACCCCAGTTGGCTTCTGCTTATGCCAGGCATATGTGTCCCGGGAACCTCGCTCGTAGCGGTAGGTGGGCGGGAAGGAGATCTCCTCTTCACCTAGGGAAGGCAGGGGACAGGCTGGGGTCAGGGCTCAGGGATATCACAGATCTCTGGCCCTCAGACCTCCTACTTGGCCCACACTCACTGAATCGGAGGAAGACCTTGTGCTTCTCCCGCTCCAAGTTGAGCTGGTCCACCCTGAGCAGGGGCTCAAACTCCTTTCTGCTGATATAGTTCAGGATCTCCTGGGGTGGGGACACAAAGGCTGAAGACTGTCCCTCTGAGCCAGAGCCCGAGGTGAGAGCCCATCTGACCCCCAGCCCAGCCACCTGCTCGCACCTGGATATCCATGTCCAGACGGTAGTTGAGGTCCCCAAACCAGAAGAGGTGAGTGAAACGCAGAGAGATGTCAAAGGCACTGAGCTGGCGGTCGCCCAGAGAGAGCAGCCGCAGGATGTCTAGGTAGTTCTGGTTCCGCCTACAGTGAGGATGGGAGGAGGTCCCCAGGGTCAGGACTCAGGGACAGGCAGAAAGGTAAGAAGTCTCTGGGGTCAGGGATGGGGTAGGGATTAGGGTCCCTGAGGAAAGGGGGGTCTTGAGTTGGGATAAGGGAGAAGGTGGTCTCTTGGGACAGGGTCATAAGTAGGTCATGGACTGGGATATGGGAGAGGGAATAGGCCTCAGGTGAATTAAGGGATGGGGGTGAAGGCACCCGCTCACCGGGCAGTCTTCTCATTTCCCGAGGTGAGGTGGCAATTCACAAAGCCAAATGAAGTGCCATTGAACATGAAGGAGACGCCCACAGCCCCCTTGTTTCCTGTCAGGACATCAAGAAAAAAAGGCCTGAGTCACCCTTAGAGGACTCCCAGCTCCCCCCCTGAAGCAGCAGTGAGAAGGTTCTCCCAACACGCCCCACCCACACATTTGAGGAGGTAGGCAGGCCACTGAGCACACACCCACACCTTCCCTGGAGATCCACGTGGGGCACACACGAGGATGGACTGAGTCTGTCTGCATGTGTGAGCAGAGCCCCTGGAGATCACAGGTGATTCCAAGGGTGAAGCTGCAAGGACCTACAGATTCTGGGCAGAATCTACCCTGGAGGAGCCCTGGACTGCAAACCAACAGACCTGGGCACTATGCCAGGCTCCACTGCATGCAACCTTGAACAGATCACTCAACCACTCTGGGCCTGAGTTTTATCATCTACTAGAGGCCCTGTGCATGAATTCATGCACAGGTGGGCGGGGGGGTCCCTTGGCCTGGCCAGTTATTGGTGGTCAGTGCGCGTCATAGCAACCGGTCAACTAGTCGCTTGGGCTTTTATATATATAGGTGAAATGGAGATAATTATCCTGGCCTGCCTTCCTGGTGGGGCCAGATGAAATTTAGAATAGGAACATACTTTACAAAGTTCAAAGAGTTCCATATATGGAAAAGCTGAGACCACCCAAAAGGGGAAGATCCTGGGCTGGAGAGGAAGCAGGAGGTCCACGCTGCTCACCCAGAGTGTTGGCAATGCCAGTCTTCACGCTGGAGGTACTGACATGGCTGATGCGGTTCTCGTGCTCTGGCTTGACCAGCACAGCCACCTTGATGTTCCACAGGGACTGCATGGCAATCTGGGTGGAGAGTACAGAGTCACCTCTGTCCTGAGCTGGGCCACTGTCCACTACCCCCTCCCAAACAGCCCATACTATATCAATTGTTCTGGCAGGCACAGGATAGGAAAACTTGCTATTTTTTTTTTCCTGAGGGGCAAAAGAGAATCAGCGCCTCCCATATCATGAAGGACTCAGGTTAAATCTCATAAAGGATATGCCCATGGGCCAGAAGAACAGCCAGTCAAGTTGTGTTCCCAGGGTCACCATAAGGTCAAGCAGGGTAGTTTGGGATGGTTGTGAGAGGGGATTGCACAAGATGACCCCCCTCACCGGGCGGTAATCCAGATCTGTGAGCTCCTTGAGGCCCCCGCGTAGCAGGTCCAGCCATTCTCGGTCACACACCGAGTTCTCCTGGGTCCCAAAAACATAGATGTCATGGGGTATGGCAACTGTGACCTCATCCAGGGTCTTCCCCAGTCCCTTCGATGTGAACCAAGATGTCACATTTTTCGGAGGAGGCACACTTCCTGGAGGTGGAGGGGATGGGAGTGGTCAGGCCCCTGCTCTGGGGCCATTTCTCCCTCCCACCTCGGCCCCTGCCCGCAGGCCTCACCCATGTTCCAGGTGCCTATGAAGACAGAGATCATGTCGGGCTCATCCTGCTTGGAGTGCTTGTTCTTCATGAGCTGTAGCAGCTGGCAGAAGGCCTCCCGCTTCTGGGGGAACAGCAGCCAGTAAGAAGCAGGTGAGCAGCCAGGGAACCCCTCCTTCCAGGGATACTCTGCTAGGTAAGCAGGTACCGAGAGAGGAGGGGCATGCCTGTCTGGTGCACCACTATATAGTCCATGCATATAATAGGTGCTCGATAAATGTTCATTGAATGAGTATTTAAATCTACCCTCAGGCCACCCACTCTCCATACATGTACTCTCTGCCCTGTCAGACCCACCCTGCCAGGAGGGATGACAGGCCTATATCATGTGTTCCGTCTCTTCCCATTCCCTGGAGACTCCTACAGCCCCCAATGACCTGGCCCAATCTGCTGCTCACCCGGGCACTGACAAAGATGAAGTCCTTGCGCTGTGTCCGGTCCTTCTCCTTCTCAAACACGACACCCAGCTTGTTCTGGACACGCTGAGACTTAATGAGCTGGCGGACTAGGGGATGGAGAATGAGTCACACTGGCCTATGTACTGAGGCCTGGGGCTGCCCTGTCCACCCCTCCCAGTTTAGGCCCTGGCTCACTGCGGTCATGTGTGAAGGTTGTCCAGTCCTCCTGTGAGTCTCGCTGTCTCCGTAGCAACACCAGCCGCCCGCCCTCGACATCCACGCTCAGCGTGAACTTCTGTGATTTCCCAATCTTGGTCAGATCGCCCAGGGTCACATCCAGCTTCACCTGCAGGCCAAGAGGTAAGGAGATGCTGAAAAGACCTCGGGGCAGGCAGCAACCCCTTCACCTCCAACTGTCCTTTGACCCATGAGACCCCAGCTGGCACCCTCTGCAATGTACCTCAAAGGCCTGCACAGGGATGGTCTTGGCCTTACGTGTGCATGGCTGCAGTGGAGCCGGGGGTGCTGTGGAACTTATGTCCTGAAGGGCCTTCAGGGCCTGGAGAGGGCAAGGGCAGGGCAAGGTCAGGGAACATAAGAGGACAGAGGACAAGGTCAGAGGGCTGCTCCTGAGAGGGGCATGATAGAGGTGCCCCTAAACTGTAATTTCAGGCTTCAGATCAATTAGGCCAATGGGAGTGGTTAGGAACCGGTGGGTGAGGGGTCAGAGGTCAGGAGTCAGGCCACCTTCTTCTGGATGCCCGACAGGAAGTCCTTTAACACTGACAGTTTCAGCACCAGGCTCTCTAGTTCCTGCTCCCCCGTCTGTGGTGGGTTCTGCAGTGAGAAGGAATAAGTCTTGTACATGAGGCCACCATGCAGGAGGTCCCCAACTCAGCCCCAGAACATGAACCCATTCCCCAAAGACGTTCCCACAACCCCACCTGTTGCTGCAAAAGGCGGGTCACCATGGGTGAGCTCTGCTGGTCAAACACCTTGGACAGAATTTCCAGGCCAGACAGGACCTTATCCACCTCACTAGGGGAGACATCAGGTCAGAAGAACTGCCCACCCCGATTCGGGTACAGGGAAGGGGGGCTTCAGCCTCCACCATGAGGATGCAAGGGTTCAGGTGAGGAAAAGTCAGGAGGCAATGACTGGTTCCCTGTTCAGGGCCAGAGGTCAGAGGTCAGGGCATCTGTGCAGCAGGGGAGAGCAGGTGAGGACAGGTCAGAGGGGTAAGGGTGCAATGCATGGTGTTGGATGTCCCAGGTACCTGTGTAGCCTCCGGCATGAGGTGGCAAGAGTGCGGGTGAGGTGGGGCAGGTTGCTGGCTCCACTCCGAACAGCCTCCAGGTCCAGCCCGTAGCTGCCCTTCAGGTACTCATGCGAGACAGTGCTCAACCCATTGGGAGCACTTGGAGGAGGGGTTAAGAAGTCAATAGAGGCCTTGCTGACCCTGTCCCAGCACCCCTACCCTATCCCTACAGGAGACAGTACTATTGACGATCAGAGTACCATGGATCAGGGTATCTGTCTCTGGGGCCGAGATGGGATGGGGGCCCCTAGGGGTGAGGCCTAGAAGATCTCCCCACCTTTAGTGAGAACATAGTTCTCAGAGGAGAAAGGGACTTCCTGCTCAGTGGAGGGGATTGGGGTCTTACCTCTCAGCAGCCGGAGTTGTGGGGGTCTCAGGGGCTGGTGGGGGGCTGCTGGGCCCCACAGAGGCACAAATGCTGGTGGAGCCAGAGCGTGGGGGCAGCGGGGGCTTCTCATCCTCCCCATCTGTGGACAGGGGTCAGTGGGGCATCCATCTGGGCCTCCCACCCTCAGTGAAGTATGGGGGAATGCCATGGTGATCAGAAACTTCCGTGGAAAGGGGGTAAAGGTCCCTGGCATCATGGTTAGGGCTGGGGCTTTAAAGAAGGCAAGTTGAGAAAATGGGATGGAAAGAAGCAGGTAGTATTTGAACACGAGGCAGGGCAGGCGTTTGCACACTGCACACCGGGTGGCACCTGAGGCATCGCGGTCGTCTTGCGGGTCTGGCTCTCGCTCTCGCTCCACAGGCAGCAGCAGGGCGCACACCAGGCCCTGGTTGGGCTGGGCATACAGGCCAATGAGCTCGCCCAGGGTCTGGAAGCGGCGCACGGGCACACCCTGCGAGGTCTGCAGCCAACAAGGGTGGGAGAAGGGTCAGCCAGCTAGTCCCAGGCCACAGGCTGGAATCAAGGTCAGGGGTCTGGGTCTAAGCCAGTGATGGCGAACCTATGACACGCGTGTCAGAGGTGACACGCGAACTCATTTTTTTGGTTGATTTTTCTTTGTTAAATGGCATTTAAATATATAAAATAAATATCAAAAATATAAGTCTTTGTTTTACTATGGTTGCAAATATCAAAAAATTTCTATATGTGACACAGCACCAGAGTTAAGTTAGGGTTTTTCAAAATGCTGACACGCCAAGCTCAAAAGGTTCGCCATCACCGGTCTAAGCCCTTACCTGCACAGCCAGGAAGTCTTCTCCATCAGGCAGAATTCGATACGTGTGCACATGCTTCTGGTACCTGATAGCAAGGTGGAGGTCAGAATCTGTCACTCCCAGGCTAGAGTCTAAGCCCCAAGGTACCCTCTCCTCCTGCCACTGGACTCAACGCCAGCCCTTTCAGCTTGGCTTCCCTATAACCATTTGCCCAAGCTGTACAGGGTTAATGATGGGGGCAGTCCACATCCATCCTGCTAGTGTCACCAACAAGCAGGACCCCCCCCTCCCCCGCCCCCACCAGACCTACATAGTCTCCACACCCACCGCAGGGCCCGGGAAGTAACAGACAGCTCTTTTGTGGCCTCCACAGCTGTCTAAACAGCCCCTCTGGGCTGTGGTACCAGTCTGGGCCCCCCGCCAGATTAAGAGTCCTCAGAAGCCTGGGTAACCGCTGTTTGCATGCATGGGCAATGTGCTAACACACATGTGCCTGCTGTCTATGTTTATGTTGGTGTCTAGCTCTGCTGAAGTTGGGTGTGTCTGGGGCAGTTTTGCTGGGGAGTGTAGGGATATCATCCTGGGGATTTCTACCCCCTTCCCCAGACACCAGGAAATTGGGATGACCTAAGGGGACCCCCCCATGGTAGACCCAGGCCACTAGGAGCCCCAAACTGAGGAGGGGCGATAGGGGTGCTGACAGATGACAGCAACAGCTGAGCAGGTGACAGCTGAGCCAGGCCTGGGTGGCGAAGGCCACACTCAGTGGGGCTGGGAGACTCCCTCTGCAGCCACACCTTAGGGTAGTCTTGCCCAAGGGAGTCACCCAGACTGTGTATTAGGCAGGAGGGGGTGTTGGCTCCAGAGAGGACCAAATGCCTATATGAGAAGACCCTTTACCTTGGCCACAGGGCCATTCCCTTCCCTCAAGTGGGCCCCGTTTGAGGGCTCTCTTGGCTGCCAACCAGACACAAGCCATGCTGGTGTCTGTATGTGACTGGGTGTGTTGGTTTGTGGACTGTGGGCCTCTGTTTATAACAATAATAACATCCCATTAACTGAGCCCTGTCTCTGTGTACTTAGCACAGACATGACCTCATTAATCTTCACCTTTTGAGGCAGATATCATTATTATCTCCATTCTTTAGAAGAGGAAACTGAGACTCACAGATGAAACACAAAGCAAGTAAAAGGCAGAGCTGGGATTTAAAGCCAGGGCAGAGGCCAAGGCCTTATATCCTGGCCTGCTGATCGATCGGATCGCCTGTGCCTGCTGAGGCAGGGAAGTGTCCTGTATACATGTGGGTGTGTACACAGGTAAGCAAGTATGTTTCCGATCGCCCACCCCCAGGCTCCTGAAATGCTAGGAGTAGCCAGAGTCAGCTGGCAAAGCTGAACTATCTCCCCACAGACCCTCACCCCACCCATCTCCTCTCCTGGCAATGGAGCCCGGATTCTCCCCTCCTGGGACAATAACTTCCTCACCCAGACACAGGCCCAGCTGTCCTCCTCTCACTCAACAGCTGACCCAACACCTGCCTCCCGCCCCTCCCTAATCTGAAATGCTAGGAGTAGCCAGAGTCAGCTGGCAAAGCTGAACTATCTCCCCACAGACCCTCACCCCCACCCATCTCCTCTCCTGGCAATGGAGCCCGGATTCTCCCCTCCTGGGACAATAACTTCCTCACCCAGACACAGGCCCAGCTGTCCTCCTCTCACTCAACAGCTGACCCAACACCTGCCTCCCGCCCCTCCCTAATTAGGGGTTATGCCTCAGAGGGGGCTGGGAGGCAGGGCACAAGGATATTCATCTGCTTAGTCTGCTCCTCTTTAGTCTTCCAGGCTGAGCCGCAGACTTAGGGCATAAGCTGAGACCCAGAGCACCCCTTCCTCTTCAGGTCCACTGCCTGCCTCAGGGTTTCTCAGCCTCAGCACTACTGCGGTTTCGGACTGCATCATTCTTTGTTGTGAGGGGCTGCCCGGTGCTTGTAGGATGCTTAGCAGCATCCCTAGCTTCTACCCACTAGATGCCAGTAGCATCATCCCAGTTGTGACAACCAAAAAATGTCTCTAGACATTGCCAAAGGTCCCCGGAGGGATCAAGTCAACCCCAGTTGAGAACCACTAGCCTGGGCCAATGCACCCCCACCCCCCACCCCCCAAAGATGTGAAGAGAACAGAGAAGGGAAGGGACAGAGGGATGGAGGTTTGGGAGAGCTCATGGGGCCAAGGAGAAACATAACTAGATCTAAACAAAGCTGCCGTGTGGCTCCCCACTCACCACCTCCCACCCCTGAGGCTCATAGAAGCCTACCCAGTGTCAGACCAAGTGGTGTGGGGGCAGCTCAGGGAGAAGACTCCAAAAACTAAAAGTGCAAACTCACCTCAACACCACCGCCACCTACGGCGGATGGGTACAGCCACAGGGCCAGGCCCACCCAGAGAGGTGCCAAGTCTAGCCCCACACTCAGCACCCACAGTTCAAGGCTAGGGCAGCCGGGAGCCAGAGCACACACACTCACTCATTGATTCATGAAATAATGGCATGGCCCCACACAGCCTCACCCTCTTCTGGACACCACCCTGCCCCCTAGCCCCAGCCATACACAGCCAGGCAGGCCCCAACCTCAGTCCGGGGGCACAGCAACGCCCCCTAAGGGAGCTGCTGACCATCCTCATACACCCCATCAGTCCCTCTGCCCCCAACTCCAACTACGCCTCTACCTACCTCTCAGACACCCCATCTCTGTAAGCAGCACTGCACACAGCCATGCAATGCATATCCTCATCCTCTAGCTCCTTCTCTCTGGAGGGGTGCCTGAGGGGGTCTGACAGAGACCCCCTTGCATTTTCCCTCCTTACAGCCACCCTGGCAGCGGGTGGGCACTTGCTCTGCTTCTTCTCCCCCAGACACACAGCGGCAGGAAGGAAGTGCGCCCGGCATCCTTCCTCGGCCTCAGCATACAGCCAAGGCCCCACTCTGGGGGGCGCTGGCGTCCACCGTCCCGAGCCCTCCCCACACCCTCAAGGAACCCCAGCCCGCGCCCCC